ACAGCCAAAAGCTGTCGAATATACAGAAAAAACGGTGTCGTCCCCATAAATGAACATATTCGACAGCCAACGGCTGTCGAATATATTTGTATATTCGACAGCTTTTTTGTCGAATATAAATACTGTCGATTGAACAAAAAATTTTCATTATCATCGTCAATTTTACATCTTCGTCAATCTTTCTGTCGATTATGTACACATTTTCGATAGCAATGTGGCTGTCGAATATATTATTGTCGCTTATGCCGCGTTTTCCAGTAGTGAGTTCCCAAGCAAAGTCTAAAAGCATAAATCCCCTAACCAAGCCAGGAGAGCTGGGTAGTGATGACGAGGTTTCAAGAGCCTAAGAATGATTACACAACTACCAAAAATAAGGAAAATGAGATGTAAATTGTGGTAAGAGCAGCAAGAATAGAAAATATATAAAGATCAAATGTTACAACTTGAAAAGCACATTTATATATAATACATTGTAGCATAATAATAAACACAATAAATGTGCCTTCCACTATTCTTGACAAATACTCTCACTCTAAAACGAGTAGCCCTTATGTTGTGGTTGGAAACACAATAATCTTCTTCAAATTTCAACAAAACCAAAGAAAAAAACTTAAAAGTAGTGATGGGAGAAGGAAATATGACTATTGTGGGGCTTATGAATGGAGGACCTAATCTCGTTTCTTGATGCTAACTCTGCTACTTGATCTCTTGATGCTCAAGAAAACAACCCAAAATCTAAATTGTAGCATGCAATTCCCTAGCCATGACGTGCTGTAAATCTGGAGTGTGTTCTGTATGGTTGGAAGTGCAGAAAATATGAGAAGAATAGAGACTTTTAGGAAATTTTGGTGTATCAGGCGAGAGGTTGAAGATGAGGAGTTCTTCAAAGCAAAAGACAGTGTTTGGTGCGAGCTGGATCTATTGAATCTTCAAAAAAAAATCCCTTGAAAAATGGAGGAAATACTAATATATAAATGTAGTGGCATTTTGGTAATTTTGAGTTGGTGGGGCTAGAGTAGCCTAGCAACTTAATAGGTAGATCTAGGTTGGGTGAGGATAACTATCAAGTTTTGAGTGAATTTGAGCACTATTGACAGCTTTTTGAAGTAAAATTATGAATTGTCTAGTGGTTATAGCTAATGATTGTTGGTTTGCTAGAGCCTTTCTACTTCTGGTAATCTCCTGTCCATATGAAATACCATATACAAGGGGTACTTGAGCAGCGCCAGCAAAGTCGTTTTTATCTTGGATTTTGGTGATTTTCCCAAGCAAAATATAATCATTTTCACCAATTCTCAATGCAGTGAAACTTGTGCAGCCATTGAAACATTAAATATGGCTATAGACTAGTGATGGAGACTCAAATGGTATCTCTGGTTGATTTTTTAATGGGATTCCAGGCCTCTTAGTTAGCATCAAATGGTTTAGTTTTTGGATCAAGTTTAGCCTCCACTTCTTTGCCAGCCAGCCCTTCTTAATGAAGTCGGGTAGCATCGTTGGCTCCAAGCTTAGTTGGTGCAAATACTTTACTTTGCCAAACGGACAACATTCATCCATCCATGCTTGCCAAGCCATTACTCCTATAATTTATCCCAAATAATCCCTATGAACTTGGATTCATGGGTTTGTGTTCATTTATAATAAATACTATAATATTAATGAGTATTTGTTCAAATATATAAGTGTAAAATGTATAAGTATGTGCAGTAAAGAAGAATACTCCTTTATATATAGAAGGGAATGGTGAGAATGAACACTACTATGCCTTTTTAACCACTAGCCATGGCAAGCACTTGTATAATATTATTGTGTATGTCTAGCGATGTGCTAAAATGAAGCATGAATAATATGGATACATGTTGCATTACATTTTATTGAATCAAGCACCGTTGCTCAATGACACCTACCAACACATAAAAGTATGGAAGAAGTATGTTGTAGATCGGGATTACTAGTGATTGGTAATTTTGTTCCTTTGTATAAAAGAATAATGATGTGTATGACCGTTGGCCATGTTGGATAAATGTCGTTGAGTCAGCCATGAATAACTTCCCTATAACTAGAGGGACAATAGTGGCTAGCTTTACCCATGGTTGGAGCGTGAACCATGTGGAATTAGAAGAGCATTCCCATTAATTTGCCAAGTCTCAAAAAGGATAAATCTCATTAATCTAGGACTCCACCATAACAATGAATATGTGATAAAAATGGGTGGAGTTTTATCCATGGAAGAGGGACGCCAACCACATCCATAGTCTCTGATACAAACAAGGTGTGATATCACAATCAAATAATGGCCCTTCTTATCATACCTACACCATTAGAGGATGGTCTTGATTGTTGTTGCCTGTCGGGCACCACACCACCATGCACAGCAACCACCAAGGAGCCGTCGACCACAACTTGATGGATTTTTATTGCTAGAGGGTAGCCATCCCAACTAATTTCAGAGTTGCAACTATTATTGGCCTCATGTTAATCGTACCAAGTTGTGTTGACTCTTTGTTTGTTTCTGGGATCCAGTAAAAATACAATATGTAGAGATAAATCTGACCTTTTTTCTATTTTTGGGAGCCAATGTAGCAAAATGTGTAGAAGTATGTAGCCTTTTGTCCATTGTTGGAGGCTAAATGAGATAGCAAATCTAGCCCTTTGTCCATCGTTGGAGGCTAAATGAGATAGCAAATCTAGCCCTTTGTCCATCGTTGATAGCTGTGTATATGTAATAGAATCAACTCGTTGTCCATTGATAGAAACTAGTGATATATATAGATGTAGATGTTTGGCCCTTTGTCCATCGCCAAGAGCCATATAGATATAATAAAATCAGCTCGTTGCCCTTTAATAGGAGTCATGTAGATGTAGCAAAATAAGCTCTTTATCCATTGTTAGGAGCCAATTGTAGCAATAAACATAACAGTAGAAATCATGATCATAAAAAACATCCAACCATGTCGTGGAGATAGATGCAGCTAAGTCTGGCCATGTACATGAGAATAGAATTGAAGTAAACCATGTTTGCAATATTTCTAACAAAGTAAATGAACACCACTTCTAGTGATGCTAACTCTAGCGCAGTTATCAACAGAAAATAATATACAATAGATCTAATGTGGAAGTAGATCACGTGGACCTTTCCTAGTCACAAGTTCAAAGTTGGTCTTGCTAATATGGCATTGCATAAATTGTGAATTTCAAAGTAATACAAATTTATCCCTCAACAAGGATATTAGTTGAATAGCAGAATGTTAGTATAAATTTTGAAAAGTCTTTTAAGGGTCTCAATATTAATATGAAAAATCTTAAAATTGAGTTGAATAAAAAATATTAATAAGAATATTATGACATTTAAGAGACTCCTTTATGTATGGGTCTTTATATTGTAGATGCTCTTAATTAATAAAGTAGTTATCTTCTTTTATCTTTTTCAAAGTTCAAACATGAAGTTAGTTGATAATATATTAAGAAGAAATTGTAGGTGAGTTCAATATATAATTGATTAGTTATTATATTAAGAAACTTAAGGCATGTAAATCTTGACTCGAAAAGTTGTTACGCTATTGATAGATTTCCACTTAGGTTGTTTCCATTGACATTATCAAAGAAGTCATGTCTTACATGTATAGGACCATATTAATTATCATGGTTGGTGGTAGTACAGACTTCATAATGCTTATTGATCTCATTTAAGTGAAGGAGATTGTTTTGCCTTAAATCCCATATAGGCCTTATTTAAGTAACGGAATGTGATGCCTTGAATTCTATATCAGAAAGAAAGTGTAAGTGAGTTTGATATATAAATGATCTACTACTCAAAAATGGAGCTAGCATAGAACAAGGGGGCAATTGCCCCCCTAAACTTTTGAAAAGTGTCAAATATAGTACAAATATTTTTTTATATAAAATCTTAATTTTGAAGTTAGAATTATTGGGACTATTTAAATATAAAAAAATATTTATGATTTAAGTAAAGGGATCATTTGTGACTAATTCTTATAAAGACACAATAAATTTATCTAGGTAAGAACAAATATAAAAAATAGTTTAGATCTTGTTATATTAAATATAACATATAAAAGTTTTATATTAATTATATATAATTTTTGTTTGTATAATTAAATATTCCATTAAACTAATAATTAAATTTATTCTATTCATATAAATGATATGTTTTAAATTTAGTGTTGGGATTGCATCTAGACTTCGTGGCCCGACAGCTCTATACTCCATAGTAAGATGCATCCCCTAACCATAGGATTGGCGTTCAAATTCCTTCATCACCAAGTTATAAACTGTTCAAAAAAACAAATTTAGTGTTGGAACTGGTTCACAATTAATAATTTTTATTTTACAATATGAATTACAAAATATAAAATTCTTAGGTAAAAGCAAATTGTGTCTTGTCTTGTATATATATATATAGAGGCAACCTTTGCGACGGTTATAGCACTGTTCAATAAAAATGCAGACATCAGTGGCATGCATCATGGACGTAATTACGAAAGCTTTATATTATAGGAGTGCAACGTTTATAAAACTCAGACTTAAGTTCAAAATGAGTTTGTTGATCAAAACCGAAAATGCATAATGAGTCTATGAGCTGTGTGACTCTTTGACTGTGACATCGTACTACCTACTTATAATTTTTTTGTTATATCTAATGTTAATTACATGATATTGTAAGTATTAAAATTTTAAATTGACTCTAAATTAAGATTTTTAACTTAATATAAGTATAAGTTGGCCTAGCACTTGATGATTCAATATTCTAACCTAACTACTAATTAGTTTACTGGGTGGGCTACCAATCCCAAATAATAGGCCGAAATCCTTTGTTCCACACGTTCCTTGAGGGGCAAACCTCTACTTTGAAGTTCCATGAATCTAACTTCAACTTTTAGGCCTTTAGCACTTTATAAGATGAAAACAATATTCAGAAAAATGATGAAAACAATATTCAGAAAAATCCGAAGCTCATTTAAGAAATTTTGCATTTCAATTACCTAAAACTAATTTCATCTTTTGCAGCAGGAAGTTTTTTCAGAAGCCAACAAACAGGCATTCATTTTGTATTACACCCTCTTTTGGTGGCATATTAACCCGTAAATGAATGACATCTTTTAGTCTCCAGCTTGCTGATTTGGCATTTTTAGGACCCGCTTTGCTGATGTTGCAGATTATTTGCCATTATCAACAAGATGAAGCCGCCAACGGGGAGGGGAAGGGGTTCGAACCACAAACCCATCTGTCATACTACAAGGATTATACACAGGGCCTGTGACGTATTTGGCGCCTTCATCTTCTTGATAAAGGATCTGGATTCAGAAGTTGCTTA